GGAACATATTGTGGAGGAGGTGAAGTCGGCGAACTTCGTAGCTATCCAAGCTGACGAGACCATGGACGTTTCTACACAGACACAGCTGGTGCTTGTGCTGAGGTACATAGATAGCAACCACAAAGTGCAGGAGCGCTTTTTTGAGTTCCTTCCCATCTCGGAATCAACCTCAGTCTCAATCGCCAGTGTGCTTTTGGAGAAACTGAACGGTCTTTTTGCCGACGACGAGAAAGTCAAACTCATTGCGCAAGCTTACGATGGAGCCAGTGTGATGAGGGGAGAGAAGGCTGGTGTGCAGCAAAAGGTGCGTGAGCATTTCAAGAATGCCCATTACGTGCATTGCTATGCGCATCAGCTGAATTTGATCATGCAGCAAGCTAGAACAGTTTCAGTACAAGTAATGTAGCCTCTCTCTCTCTTTGTCCCTCCCTGTCTGTCTCTTTAACACACACACGCCCAAATCAGTTCACAGTTGATGTTGTTTAAAATAGTTATTTTTCATTTTTTTTAAAGTAAAAAAAAATAACAAATCTGTTCATGTTCATTTTTACAAATCTATACAATTGGCCAGAATATGGTTGTTCATATTTACAAATCTATACAATTGGCCAGAATATGGTTGTTCATTTTTACAAAGCCATACAGATAGCTGTGTTTACCTTTTCTATAAATTATTTTCAAATTCTGTTTTCAGGCAAAATGTCTATCACTGTTCATTTTCACAAATCTATACAAGAGGGCAGAATATGGAAGTCTATAAAAATTTCTTATTACCAATAACTTGCATCAATGTTTTCAGTAGCCTCTATCAAAAGCTCCTGCTTGCTTGTTGTGAATTATGCTCAGGTGCACATATTTCCAATTCAACCATGAGGCCTTTTTGAAGCAAGTAATGTGTATATCAGTATTGACTTATATGCTGCCCCTGTCTTCATGTTGTTGCTGGACATATCTTTTTTAAAATGTGTGTAGGTCACCTAAATCATCAGAAAAATTGCCCCCCCTGAGAATTTTTTCAGGAGCCGCCACTGGTGTAGACAGGTCATTCTGCATTGTTTTTGTTTGTGTAGAGAAGTCAGTCTGCATCCTTGTGTAGGACTACATTCATCAGTCTGCATTGTTGTGTGTATTTGTGTAGTAAAAGATCGGTCTACATTGTTGTGTATGTGTGAAGACAGGAAGCAGTTCTGCTCTATGTATGTAGAGCAGTGTTGTGTGTGTCTGTATAGAGGGGTCAGTATCTATTGTTGTGTGTCTGTGTAGAGGAGTCAGTATCTACTGTTGTGTGTGTCTGTATAGAGGGGTCAGTATCTATTGTTGTGTGTGTCTGTGTAGAGGGGTCAGTATCTATTGTTGTGTATATCTGTGCTGTGTGTGTGTGTACGACCGGAGCCAGAGCTGACCAGATGGCCTCTATAATGTCTGTCCGGAGGGGTGTGGCGCCTCGATGCCCCAAGAAACCAACTCAGCACTCAACACCACTGAAGCTCTACATCCAATTATCAGATTTTGACTCCTCACCCAGAGGAAGGTCTCTGGGCCTATCTATCTCTATTCATCATACTATTGACCTATTTTATTCTGCCACTTCATTCTCTTGTGGTGCTGGACGGTTGTCTGTCTGTTTGTGTACGTGTGTGCGCGTGCATGTGAGTGTGTGTTATTCGGTGTAATGAGGGGTGATTTCTGAACTGTTTTCCATGTAAGCTGCTTTATTTTGAACTCTCATAACTCATCTTGTTTTTGTTAGGAAGTGGCTTTAGAACAAATAGATTTGAGGGTTTTTTACTGAGTTCAGAGTTTAACATTTTTACATTTACATTTTAGTCATTTAGCAGACGCTCTTATCCAGAGCGACTTACAGGAGCAATTAGGGTTAAGTGCCTTGCTTAAGGGCACATCGACAGATTTTTCACCTAGTCGGCTCGGGGATTAGAACCAGCAACCTTTCGGTTACTGGCACAACGCTCTTATTAACACTAATAGAAAAGAACAGCTCAAGGACAGAACTACACACATTTAAAATAAGAACAATGGACTACAGGAGGAGAATGCAGACTGTCTTGGAGACACTAACATACAGTAAGAGAATGACAGTGTATTTTCTGTAGGAATCTTTCATCAGAGAGGCTAAGCATACAAGTCAACTGTATGTCTAGAAATGCATTGGAAATCATTCAGCTTTCTTTGTAAAAAAACAAATACTTTTAACTTCAAAACATTTGACAAAATGATGTCTAATGTCATGTACATTCACAGTTTTCCTGCATTGCATTTACACATGATCCTGAAAGAGATTCATGGTGAAAACATTAGGTTTCAGTTGTTTCTGTTTACGGCTTTTACTCAGGAGGCCCTGGTACATCAATCATCTCTGGTGAGTATATGGTGACATACGCTAAGTAATAAGTTACCGGACTCTCACAAGCACACTTTGAGGGTATATATGTTCCTTAGTGTGGCCATGTGAGAGGGTAGTACACATATGCGAGCTGTAAATTATTTTGTTTGCTTGTGTGGTGTGTACTCACGTGTGTGTGTGTGTGTGTGGAGGGCTGTATACCATGACAGATGGTCTGAGCGGCAGCAGTGGAACAGAACAGAGAGGAGCTGACTGACTAGAAGACAAACACAGTGTTGAGTTATCAAGCATCCCTCTGATGGAAAACCCTTTTATTTTATCACAGTTACCCTGGAGAGCTATCTGTCATGACGCCACCCATCGATCTCTGACGTTGCTGTGTTTCTCTTGACTGCTTACAAAGATTAGTGGCTGTCTCTCCCTGCTCCACAAAGCCTGCTAGTCCCACTCTCACTACCCATCTCCTCCCTCCACTCATCCCCTCCCCTCTTTCCTCCCCCCGCACCCAGCCCAGACTGTGACAGGTGGCCAGGCTCACTTCCGCGACGCTAGCTCCCCTCCCTCCTCCAGAGAAAGATGAAGTGGGTTCCGGAGACCATGGATTCCCTGCTGCGGGGTACAATCCTCTTTGGCTTGTAGAAGCTGGGAATTTTTCATTTGGAGGCTCTCCATAGGGCTGAAATGTACCTTCAGGGCCATTTGAATGTAGGGCACACAGACAGAAACAGACACACATGGCTGGCTATGGTGGGTTAAGAGAGGAGGATGGCAGCTCTTCTCCTCCTGTGTGCCTAAATCAGGGAGTGAATCAGTGAGGCCTGTCCTCTAGAACCACAGCTTACTATACAGGCCAGGACTAGAGGGAGAGAGACATTAATTGAAGCCCAGTGAAACAGTGCTTCAGTGGGGAGTGGCCACCACTAAAAGGGTGAGAAGCCTCAAACTGAAGCAGGAAGTTCACAATGTGTTGTGTTGGATTCAGGACAAAGCCCCTGTGAGTCCACTCATCAGAGAACATAAAGTAGGATTAAAATAAGCTTTATGCCAGGTGGTGAGGGATAAGAACTGGCCCAATAGTACTGATTTAGAATGATTAAAATTTAGAATTTCTGAGCTGGGTAATCATCTTAAATCATCCCTCTGATATAAGCTTTCATTATGTTACCTGCATTAAAACCAGGTAAGTTGTGGCCTGGTGGTCAGTTTACATGTTTGCCGGTGTGGGTTTGAATCCAGCCCACTCTTTACCTTTCTTTCTCTCGGTCTCTACGCTATCCAACAAAACATACAAAAATGCTAAATATATTTATATTAACAAAAATTAGGTTATTGAGAACAAGTGTGTATCAGTGTCATTAATGTGTGTGTGTATATATACAGTGGGGAGAACAAGTATTTGATACACTGCCGATTTTGCAGGTTTTCCTACTTACAAAGCATGTAGAGGTCTGTAATTTTTATCATAGGTACACTTCAACTGTGAGAGACAGAATCTAAAACAAAAATCCAGAAAATCACATTGTATGATTTTTAAGTAATTAATTTGCATGACATAAGTATTTGATCACTACCAACCAGTAAGAATTCCGGGTCTCACAGACCTGACCACAGTCTCAAAGAAAACCATTAGTAACACACTACGCCGTCATGGATTAAAATCCTGCAGCACACGCAAGGTCCCCCTGCTCAAGCCAGCGCATGTCCAGGCCCGTCTGAAGTTTGCCAATGACCATCTGGATGATCCAGAGGAGGAATGGGAGAAGGTCATGTGGTCTGATGAGACAAAAATAGAGCTTTTTGGTCTAAACTCCACTCGCCGTGTTTGGAGGAAGTAGAAGGATGAGTACAACCCCAAGAACACCATCCCAACCGTGAAGAATGGAGGTGGAAACATCATTCTTTGGGGATGCTTTTCTGCAAAGGGGACAGGACGACGGCACCGTACTGAGGGGAGGATGGATGGGGCCATGTATCGCGAGATCTTGGCCAACAACCTCCTTCCCTCAGTAAGAGCATTGAAGATGGGTCGTGGCTGGGTCTTCCAGCATGACAACGACCCGAAACACACAGCCAGGGCAACTAAGGAGTGGCTCCGTAAGAAGCATCTCAAGGTCCTGGAGTGGCCTAGCCGTCTCCAGACCTGAACCCAATAGAAAATCTTTGGAGGGAGCTGAAAGTCCGTATTGTCCAGCGACAGCCCCGAAACCTGAAGGATCTGGAGAAGGTCTGTATGGAGGAGTGGGCCAAAATCCCTGCTGCAGTGTGTGCAAACCTGGTCAAGACCTACAGGAAACGTATGATCTCTGTAATTGCAAACAAAGGTTTCTGTACCAAATATTAAGTTCTGCTTTTCTGATGTATCAAATACTTATGTCATGCAATAAAATGCAAATTCATTACTTAAAAATCATACAATGTGATTTTCTGGATTTTTGTTTTAGACGCCGTCTCTCACAGTTGAAGTGTACCTATGATAAAAATTATAGACCTCTACATGCTTTGTAAGTAGGAAAACCTGCAAAATCGGCAGTGTATCAAATACTTGTTCTCGCCACTGTATATGTGTGTGCGCGTGATGCAGGACCTGTCCACTCTGCAGTGTGAGGTGGTTGTCCTGGTGTTCTCGTTGACTGACAGGAGGAGTTTCCAGCGCACTGCACAGCTCCGCCTCATCCTCAGGGAGTCACTGCCCCAAACTCCCATCATCCTCGTGGGCAACAAGAGTGACCTTGTCCGCTCTCGAGAGATCAGCACAGAAGGTAGGGAGGACGGCCTCGCTATACTGTAACACACACACCGTTATCACATGAGTGCCCACAGCATTTTAATATGTACCTCCTGTCAATCTAATGGTCTTGCCTTTCCACCTTGTGCCACCATTCTCATGTGTTCACCTACAGTACAGAGATACAGTATTGCATGCAAATGTATAAAATACATACTTACAGTCGATACAATATAACCCCCACCCTTTCCCAACCATTATCATCATAACACCTGCAGTGCCTCAGTACAGCATGGTAGAGGTTGGCACCGGAGTGAAAATCCATTCTTGTCCTGTCCATTTTTTCCCCATACTGTCTTGATCCTGTAACAGTTCTGTATACTGGAAACTTTCCTGTCCCGCCCGATAAAAATCACTCCTATCCCGTCCCGTGCTAATTTTAACACGCAGAAATCAGAAGTCAGCTCTGCATGTGAGTAGCCATAGCAACTGTTCTGTTTTGGCTGCTGCTCAGCGCTCACGAGACAGTTGCCTGCCCTGCACACACAGCCGATAACAACAACATTATGAGATTTTGGCAATGAAGGCAGCCATACTACTTACCCAGAGATTTGGATGAACTCAATTCCTCTCCTGAAGGCTTCATCATTGACTGACGTACATTGGCATCTAAGGTAAAGTAGTGAGTGCGCAGTTGTAACGTAGACGCAGGGAGTCAGGAAGCAGATGGTGACTTTAATCATAAAGACCATGAAGAGTACAAAACAAGAGAACCGTCTGGACATGAAAACTAAACCAATGCTGCCTGCAGAGTGATGCGAGGGAGTGCTAGATAAAGGGGGAGTAATCAGAGTAGTGATGGAGTCCAGGTGTGCCTCATGATTGGGTGCAGGTGTGCGTAATGAGGGTTGCCAGGTGTGCGTAATGATGGGATGCCAGGACCGGTGGTTATTAGACCGGTGACGTCGAGCGCCGGAGAGGGGGGACAACTGGAGCGAAATGACAATTTATTTGTATAGATTTTTATTAAGTAAACTATATTAGGCCTACACACACTTTTTAAAATTAAATGCTCCACACATTACATATTTATAACCCCGCCCCAAAACTCAGTTTACAACTATTCCTGTACTGCCCGCTACTGTGGACTGTCAAACCTGTCCCATCCTGTCCTGAACTTGACTCTAGATCTTCTCTCCCATTCCTGCTGGCATCCCGCGGGACCTGCAACACTCCTGTCCCCATGTCAACCTCTCAGCAGGGTTTCCCAAACCTCTCCTTGGGCCCCACCAGACATTAAACCCTAAACTGGCACACCTGATTCAATTAGTCAACTAATCATCAAGCCTTTGACTAATTGAATTAGGTGTGCCAGTGTAGGGTTAAAGGCAATGTTCATGCGTTAGCGGAGACTACATTTACGGTAAATGCTGCATACAGTGGGCTTGCGAAAGTATTCATCCCCCTTGGCATTTTTCCTATTTTGTTGCCTTACAACCTGGAATTAAAAATTGATTTTTGGGGAGTTTGTATAATTTGATTTATACAACATGCCCACCACTTTGAAGATGCAAAATGTTTTGTATTGTGAAATAAGACAAAAAAACAGAAAACTTGAGCGTGCATAACTATTCACCCCCCCAAAGTCAATACTTTGTAGAGCCACCTTTTGCAGCAATTACAGCTGCAAGTACCTTGGGGTATGTCTCTATAAGCTTGGCACATCTAGCCACTGGGATGTTTGCCCATTCTTCAAGGCAAAACTGCTCCAGCTCCTTCAAGTTGGATGGGTTCCGCTGGTGTACAGCAAGTCATACCACAGATTCTCAATTGGATTGAGGTCTGGGCTTTGACTAGGCCATTCAAAGACATTTAAATGTTTCCCCTTAAACCACTCAAGTGTTGCTTTAGCAGTATGCTTAGGGTCATTGTCCTGCTGGAAGGTGAATCTCCGTCCCAGTCTCAAATCTCTGGAAGACTGAATCAGGTTTCCCTCAAGAATTTCCCTGTTTTTAGCGCCATCCATCATTCCTTCAATTCTGACCAGTTTCCCAGTCCCTGCCGATGAAAAACATCCCCACAGCATGATGCTGCCATCACCATGCTTCACTGTGGGGATGGTGTTTCCGGGGTGATGAGAAGTGTTGGGTTTGCGCCAAATAGCGTTTTCCTTGATGGCCAAAAAGCTCAATTTTAGTCTCATCTGACCAGAGTACCTTCTTCCATATGTTTGGGGAGTCTCCCACATGCCTTTTGGCGAACACCAAACGTGTTTGCTTATGTTTTTCTTTAAGCAATGGCTTTTTTTTGCAAGGCACTATATGTTGGCTCAATCTGAAATGACCTTTAAATGTCTATTGCACAATCTGTAACAGAGATACAAATTGAATAGAGCCCTTACTGCGAAATGGCTTCCAGTGGGTTTAAGAGCACACATTCTCTAGGCCCGGGAAATTATGTTGGCTACCTTTAGTTTCTGTGGGCCTTTGTCCCATTTGGACATGATGCACAGAATTGACTCTGTGAAACCACAGAGCTTTCTAGTGGAATGGCCTATGTCTCTGTATCCATTTCCGTGATTACAATGCAAAACTCATAGTTACATAGCCTACAGTAAGTAACAGAAAACCACAGTTTTTGTTTCCCTTTTATTATTATTCTTTCATGCCTGTTCAGAATTAAAGCAGTGACCTCTACCTACTTGTAGAGGTGTTTATGAACACGTAGCTCTCCCTGCTATCTCATGCCATGCTGGGGGAATTCAGCTGTATGCCTCCTGTCTTCTGTTGTTATTTGGATTATCTCTCTAGCACAGAGGGCTGGTGTCACTATCTTTACACACATGCATACACGGACACACGCACCCACACACTCTCACACCTCTCCCTCCCCTCTCAGTGTGTGTGTGTGTGGGAGGAGGGGGGGTGTGTGACACTGCTTGTGCCATGTGTGGAAAGCTGTGATAAGGAGCCTCAGAGAGAAATGACTGGGATGTCCATGCTACAAGGGGCTGCTGCAGGGGTGTGTGAATAAAAGTGATTAAATGGGGCCAGTTGTGAGAGTCTGTATTTGTGTAGAGTGTGGGTGTGAGACCTTTTGTTTTGGGTGAATTTTTGTTTGTTTAGTATAGGTTGTCCAGAAGAGAGTCAAAGTGTGTGTGTGTGCGTGTGCGCATGTGTGTGTGTGTGAGAGAGAGAGACAGAGAACCACAGTAATGATGTGATCATCGATGTGGAAAAGCTACATCTCTCTTTTGTATTAATCGATCTAGGGTATTCTGAGCCTTGACTCCCTGTCCGATATTTCAGCCTGAATAAGGAAGAAAACTTGCCTGGCTGGTGGACTACTTATCATTGACAATATTGCTTGGTGCCTGTGTTTGAGATATGGGTTTGGTCATAAAATGTATTTATGGTATTACTGTGGCACATTTATTTCTCTCTCCCCTCTCTTTCTCTCACTATATATATACACATATATGTTATTCATTCATTAGCTAAGTGAGAGCGAAGCCAACCACCTTAATTGGGGAGGACGGGCTTGTGGTAATGGCTGGAGCAGAATGGGTGGAATGGTATCAAATACATCAAACACATAGTTTGATGCCATTCCATTTGCTCTGTTCCAGCCGTTATTATGAGCCGTCCTCCCCTCAGCAGCTTTCACTGAGCCCTAACCATCGTTAATAACACAATGCTGTTGTTTAATATATGCTGCTCTTTCTAATGCTTAGTCTGCCTTCTCTCTGAGCCCCGCCCGAAAAGGACAGAGAAGCGCCCGCGAGCCGCCGACTTCGCCGACCCTACGACGACTCCGACCATCCTATCCCCTCCTCCCTCTCACCCCCTCACCTCTCTCTTTGGTCCCTGTCTCTCCTATCTCTTATCTCTCACTCGCTCTCCCCTCTACTCCCCTCTCCCCTCCCCCCTCCCCTCCCCCATCCCCTCTCCTCTCCCACCTCAGCCACTGCCACCACAACACTATGATCTCATGTTGGTCTCATCTTATTGTGGCTCATCCCTGCCTCGGCTCAGCTCAGAGCGGCTCAGCTACATTCAGTAAAATTTCATTTTCATTCCGCTCTTAACAAGTTAAGACTCAATCAGCTGTTATATGTAGTAGATATTAGGATAAGCCCAGCTGATCTGATTGGGAATTTTTTTCCTTTCCACTAAACATGACTGTCATGGTATCTCTCTATCGCTATGTACCTAACCACTCTCTCTGTGTTCCAGAGGCCCACTCCAGTGCCATGATGTATGACTGCCAGTATCTGGAGCTGTCTGCTTCCCTGGACCACGGCACCACCGAGCTGCTGGAGGGGGCAGTGAAGGCTGCCAGGGGCGACTGCGTGGGGCCAGGCTGGACGGAGGGGGACCCTGGGGCAGGGCGCAGGGAGAGCCTGACCAGCAAGGCCAAGCGCTTCCTGACTGGCCTGGTGCCACGTTCCTACGGCCGAGGAGACAGGGACCGAGGCCAATACAGGGAAATGAGCAGGCACCGGGGCAGCAAGATCCTCCGACAGAAATCACGCTCCTGCCATGACCTCAGTGCGATGTGACACCAGACAGACTGAGAGAGAGAGGGGGATGGGAGGTGTGTGAAAAGGGGAAAGAATGAAGGAGGACAACAGGAGATGGGAGATGCGTTATGGAGGGGGAAACAGAAGAGGAGGATGGTGAGAAGTGTAGAGGAAGAAAGACTAGTGAAGGACAAAGGAGAGAGAGAGAGAGAGCAGAAGACGACCTGGTTAGAAATGAGGCAGTACCTGAGGGAGAGCGAGGGAAAGAGGTGAAGTCATTAGAATAGCAGGATGAGATGAATACGAGATGACTCATTGTGCAATGAGAGAGAGAGAAAAAAAACACAGTGAAAAGTGAAATTGGGGAAAGATGAATGAATCAAGTAGGAAAAAGGTGATTGGAAAATGATTGTGCAAGATGGAAAATAATTGGTCACAAATGAACACACCCAAGAGGCATGTAGTGTCTGATTATGTAGAGACTGATAGAGATCTAATATAGTCCCTGTTTAAAAGCATGATGTTACACAGTGAATAGAGTTGCAGAGATAAGACTTGCTCAGTAGGCTCATGTAATTATAATAACAGCGTCCTGGATTTACTTCTTACTGGCCGGAAGCTACGGTATACTGTCCCTCCGTCCTCTGTGATGTTCAATGCAAGGCCCTTTACAAATGCCTCATCCATGCACTTTTTATACCAATCAGATTTAATGTCGCTGCTGCATAATCCCTTTATATCAGGTACTGATTTTGGAGATCATTTTTTCAGTAGAGCACACAGTGCTCAATAATCCCACAGATTAAAGAACTTGGTTGGAGCAGGTCATATATTACAGTAGCTATTTTGAAAGTGAATGTAGACTCAAGTCTTGCAGTTACATGAAATCTGGCCACTTATCCCACTACACTCACCTTTACACTGACTCCATGCTAAACATACCTGCACTCAATAATTTTCCTTACCAGGCCCTACCTATATATGCAGCTACTGCAGTGCCTAGCGATAAGTAAAAAGCTCTAAATCAATAGAAGTAAACAATACTTGTAACTAAGGCCCAGAGTTGTCCCCGTCCACAGGACTTGAAGACCTGACAGGGAAAACTCTGGTCCCTATGTGTACCCACAGACTGGTAGAACCCACAGACTGGCAGAACCCACTCCACTAACTCCTGACTGAGGCAGATTGAGAGCACGTTGGCTTGCTAGAAGAACACAGGACGATAGATATATAAGAGCAGATGAGGAGAAAGACTCAACTAGCCTACCTGTGGCTGTTTCATGTTAGATTGTTAGATAGTTTTTTTACCTGCTGAAATTGTGTACATACAGTACATACATAGAGAACATGTACATAAACATTCCCAACCATAGAACAGAGCATTACTGTGGGGGCTGGCCACACAGGCAAACACAACAATACGCGTTCTGGAAACGTTGCTTGGATGTGTTGACAGCGTGTGGCAACGTCATTGATATACATTAGCTACACATGCTCAATTATTTGTCACTGTCTATTATTTCACACTCTTGTCTTTCGAAAGAGAATAAATTAATTTTGTTTGACATCTTTGATGAGTGTTATGCTCTTGTCTCATTTGTTTGAACTTGACAGCATGACAATAGTGTCTCACTGAAGTACTGGCGTTGTAAGGTAGCCTAGCAGTTAGAGAGGCGAGCCAGTAGCCGGAGCGTCGACAGTTCGAATCCCAGGACCGAATGGGAAGAATCTGGCAGGAAGTGAGCTGGCAACCTGAGGGTTGCTGGTATCAAATCCTAGATGCCATTGCCTGCAGTTTTAAAAGTGGAAGTCAAATTTCAGTCAGACCTGGTGTACAATTGACAAAAAAAGTGATCTTGATCTTAAAATAAAAGGCTCTATAAAATATGTATTGCTAAAGAGTTACAGATTGTGTGATAGAAATGTAAAGGTCATTTCCGATTGAGCTTAGCCAGAGGCGTCACGTTCATAGATGTGTTTAGTTTTTTGGGGGTTGTTTCTCTGTAATACTATTAGCCACATAGCAATTTTATGAAGTTAGCTTTAGCTAGCCCAGATAGGTTCCCAATCTCATAACTAGCTACCAAGAATCCATTTCAGGCTATCAATCAAGTTAGAGTAGCTAGCTTGTCTAACTATCTTAGCTGGCATGCCTGCTGGCAAGGTTCATAGACTTTAGAAATCCAAGCAATACCTAAATGTACGGAATAAGATTCCTTTCAATCTTTTACCCAGATTTTAGCAGAGATGCAGAGAAGCATATTTAGTTTATTTTAAAAAAGAACCACCAGTCACCACAGACAGCTCAAGAGGTATGCAGAAAAATATACATATTTTTTACATATAATTAAGCATAATGATTATGGCTCTAAATTGCAGGAAAAAGTTGTTTCAGGTGTTTGAAAATGCTAAATTCTCCAACTTCCGGACCACCCCACAGCCATCTTCACATATTTTGTGCCCCCTCAGATCTTTGGGGTGCATGATGCCCCTGGAGCCAACATATGCAGCTTTTACCATGAATGCAGTCTTTTCTAACTCGAGAACATTGCCTTTACATTTCAATCACACTGTAACGCTGAACTTCCGCGATATGGATTGAATAGAGCACAAAGTCTACAAAGAAAAAAAGGCTATTGAGGGCAGGTATATGTGCTCCAGTTTAAATTTCTGGTGTCAGTTCTTCAAGTAAAAGTACAACCACAACACTTCGGGGGATAGAAAATAACTCCAATGTCAACATGTTCTTGTACTCTCCAGAAAGAAAGCATTAGAAATCTTCATCAAGGACAAGTCTTCTGGCATTTAGCACCGTTCCAGTATTGCACAGTTCTTTCTGCTTTACCCTAGTATGTGGGCAAAAATAACATCACACACCCTGTTCCCTTTCAGAGGGGAATACACAGCCGAAGCTACAGACTCAGAACTACTGATGTTCATTGGGGCTAGCTGAAGTGAATCTAGGTGAACTCTTGAGATGGAGAGGGAAGATAGGGGAAGGGACAGACAGAGGGGTAGGGGAAGATCGGGGTGGAAGCGTGATGGTTGCTTGGAAACTGTTGTCAAGGAGACAAGGAGTCCCAGGGTCCTTTGACATCTCCGTCTTTTTTATATATTTTTTAATATTTTGGAGTAGGTTGTTTTGTTTTTTCCAGAAGAGAGAGGGACAGAAATAAGCAGGGAGGTGCTGTCTGTTGTAAAGTGAAAGTAGAAGGAAAAGAATAAGCACATATTCAGCCTAGGACTAATCAGAGCTATTTAATACACACCTCTCTCTCACAGGCCTGCACACATTCACAAATATACTGTACACTTGAGGAACACAACATACGCATTAACATATGATCAAAATCACACAAACACACTCAAAAAATAGCTGTAGACTCACTGTCACACTGAAATCACATATGAAAATGCACCACATAATGATAAGCTCAAATTGGAGAGTACAGGGGTAAAGCAAAGTGGAAAATGATAGAACATGACATGATTCTTCACTGAAACCTGATCAGTCTCTCAAATCGTGACAGATGCCAGATGCCTTCTATCACTCCTATGCTGACTCATTCTCTGGGCAAAGACAGAGAGACTGGCTAGATGAAGAGGAGGGATGGGGAGAGAGAGGTGTAGTAATATCTATGCCAGAGATCATTTATATCCTGACTAATCTTAAAAACATCACCTAAAAACAAGTAAACTCATTCTTAGTAAATTGGAGTATAGGTTAAATCTCTAAACACACAATGATATTAATATGCATATCTTTGTTTGTGTGTGTGTGTGCTTGTGAGTGCGTGTGGCGGTATGTTATGAAAGAGGCAATTTAGCAGGAGGGGGATGGAGCCTAATGCACATAAAGGCAGCTGTGCTCCACTACTGATAGCTGCCATGCACTGAAGTAACTAAGACATTCAATGGCATTGAGGGATGCTGCACTGAATCCCAGGGGAATGGTTGTGATTTATTTTCATAGAGCACTGCCTCATTGTACCCTAAAGGTCAGTGTTCTGCCGGCTCTCCCCTGTGCATATAGAGCAGATTGTACATGCACACTAATAAACATCCACAGAGCTTCTAAGGACAGAGAAACACACCACTAAATGGAGTACACTGTGGCTTCTTATTCATGCAGATTTTGTTGCATAAGAATCGTGCCCCACAGAGTACAGTAGAGACAACGCATCATGCTAAGTGATTGCATTGTTGGAGGAAAAGTGGCAAATCAACATCAATATGGGCTGAAAGCCCACTAAACCCCCTTAATGTGGATTAATAGCAGGTAAACAGGCAAGAGGAAAACGACATGTGGTTCTTAAGCTCTTTTTGGCTAGTGTGACAGAATGAGTTTATGGCATTAGTATCGATTTGAATGTTTGGACATAGGCCTATTGTTGAAAACAATTATACACAATAGATTACATGAAGAGGATAAACTGAACAGACTCAATAACATATTTATTTTACCTCCAATGCCATCAGCCTATAAGCCCTCTGTATGGATACAGTAGTATCTATACAGAAATGTGTGTTAAGAGCTGATTAATGGTGACGTTGCAGTGCATTATTATGTGATTCTTTGCTATCACACTGCCATCTAGTGGGGAGTATAGAGCATTGTGTGGCCCTATGAGTTTATTCTTCGTGTTGAGCTGGAAAGAAGAGGCATTTTTAACCAGACCTTCATAAAACAAACCAGGTAAGTGCTTCCAGTTCCAGTTGCAATGCCATTATGTCAGGTGCTTCCAGTTGCAATGCCATTATGACAAGTGCTTCCAGTTGCAATGCCATTATGACAAGTGCTTCCAGTTGCAATGCCATTATGACAAGTGCTTCCAGTTGCAATGCCATTATGACAAGTGCTTCCAGTTGCAATGCCATTATGACAAGTGCTTCCAGTTGCAATGCCATTATGACAAGTGCTTCCAGTTGCAATGCCATTATGACAAGTGCTTCCAGTTGCAATACCATTAAGACCGAGCACATAGAACATCATTAGAATGACAATAGAGGAAGTGAAAATGATTAACCAAAACATTTATTGATTCTCAATTAAAAACAAAAATAAGCATGACATACCTTTTGGAATAAGTGCAGATTTGACACAGGTATAATGCATTCCAATGAATCAGTCAAGATTAATTTGTAAATATATACACTGCTCAAAAAAATAAAGGGAACACTAAAATAACACATCCTAGATCTGAATGAATGAAATAATCTTATTAAATACTTTTTTCTTTACATAGTTGAATGTGCTGACAACAAAATCACACAAAAATTATCAATGGAAATCAAATTTATCAACCCATGGAGGTCTGGATTTGGAGTCACACTCAAAATTAAAGTGGAAAACCACACTACAGGCTGATCCAACTTTGATGTAATGTCCTTAAAACAAGTCAAAATGAGGCTCAGTAGTGTGTGTGGCCTCCACGTGCCTGTATGACCTCCCTACAACGCCTGGGCATGCTCCTGATGAGGTGGCGGATGGTCTCCTGAGGGATCTCCTCCCAGACCTGGACTAAAGCATCCGCCAACTCCTGGACAGTCTGTGGTGCAACGTGGCGTTGGTGGATGGAGCAAGACATGATGTCCAAGATGTGCTCAATTGGATTCAGGTCTGGGGAACGGGCGGTCCATAGCATCAATGCCTTCCTCTTGCAGGAACTGCTGACACACTCTAGCATTGTCTTGCATTAGGAGGAACCCAGGGCCAACCGCACCAGCATATGGTCTCACAAGGGGTCTGAGGATCTCATCTCAGTACCTAATGGCAGTCAGGCTACCTCTGGCGAGCACATGGAGGCTGTGCAGCCCCCCAAAGAAATGCCACCGTACACCATGACTGACCCACCGCCAAACCGGTCATGCTGGAGGATGTTGCAGGCAGCAGAACGTTCTCCACGGCGTCTCCAGACTCTGTCACGTCTGTCACATGTGCTCAGTGTGAACCTGCTTTCATCTGTGAAGAGCACAGGGCGCCAGTGGCGAATTTGCCAATCTTGGTGTTCTCTGGCAAATGCCAAACGTCCTGCACGATGTTGGGCTGTAAGCACAACCACCACCTGTGGACGTCGGGCCCTCATACCACCCTCATGGAGTCTGTTTCTGACCGTTTGAGCAGACACATGCACATTTGTGGCCTGCTGGAGGTCATTTTGCAGGGCTCTGGCAGTGCTCCTCCTGCTCCTCCTTGCACAAAGGCGGAGGTAGCGGTCCTGCTGCTGGGTTGTTGCCCTCCTACGGCCTCCTCCACGTCTCCTGATGTACTGGCCCGTCTCCTGGTAGCGCCTCCATGCTCTGGACACTACGCTGACAGACACAGCAAACCTTCTTGCCACAGCTCGCATTGATGTGCCATCCTGGATGAGCTGCACTACCTGAGCCACTTGTGTGGGTTGTAGACTCCGTCTCATGCTACCACTAGAGTGAAAGCACCGCCAGCATTCAAAAGTGACCAAAACATCAGCCAGGAAGCATAGGAACTGAGAAGTGGTCTGTGGTCACCACCTGCAGAACCACTCCTTTATTGGGGGTGTCTTGCTAATTGCCTATAATTTCCACCTGTTGTCTATTCCATTTGCACAACAGCATGTGACATTTATTGTTAGTGTTGCTTCCTAAATGGACAGTTTGATTTCACAGAAGTGTGATTGACTTGGAGTTACATTGTGTTGTTTAAGTGTTCCCTTTATTTTTTGGAGCAGTGTAGTTCCTTCAAAATAAGTGTTTCCGTAGATCAAATCAAAAGTGCAGTGAGTCAAAGCAACCATATTTTCGGGAAACACTGGGTGAAACAAAAACTTACAGTATTCAATTACATCTCATGTGCCAAACGATACCTCTTTCTTCATGCCTTATCTACATGAGTTTGCAGATGGCTCTTCAGATGAAAATGTCCTGATAAAACCCTTTCCACATACACCACACTGGTGTGGTTTCTCCCCAGAGTGGATCTTCTCATGCCTTCTGAGGTGCATCAGCTGGGCAAAGGTCTTCCCACACTGGGTACAGGTGTGTGCCCTCTCTCCAGTGTGGCCCAGCTGGTGACTCACCAGCTACCCTAGGTAGAAGAAGGACTCTCCACACTGAGCAGTGGTAGGGCTTCTCCCAAGTGTGGAGCTGTTGGTGCTTCTTTAGATATGCTACTGAACTGAAACTCTTCTCACTGTCGGGGCAATCGTACATCTTTCTTTCCCCCTGGTGATTTTCGGACATGGAGTTTGTGGTTGCTAGAAGAGCTTAGTGTTTTCACGCATTTTGAGCATTTGTACTCTTTGGCACCAGAGTGGAGGTCCTGGTGTTTCTTGAAAGTGTATTTTATAGTGAAGGTCTTGCCACACTCACCTCAGTGAAATGGTCCCTCGGTGGTGAATGATCTGATGTGATTTCAGATTACTAGGAGTGTTAACACCCATCCTACAGTGACGAAAGCTGTTGTCTCTGGTTAGTAGGACGTATCTCATGCCATTTGAGTCTGTCAAGCCTTCTGAAAGTCTTTCCACATTGCACACAAGAGAAGGGTCTGTCCTCGGAGTGGGTTTTCTGATGTCCTTTCAGAGTGGTAGAGTGTCGGAAACTCTTCTCGCATAAGGAACACTTGTATGGTTTCTCATCGGTGTGGCTACGGAGGTGTTTCGACAGATAGCCAGAGCAGCTTAACCTCTTCTCACAATGGACAGAAGGGTAAGGTTGCTCACCTGTGTGAACTCTGTGGTGGTTTTTCAGAATATTGAGGCGGCTGAACGTCTTCTCACATAGGGTACATTTGTGCGGCTTCTCTCCAGTGAGTTCTCGTGTGTGATGTGAGATGAGGCGCGGCAGAAAGCTTTCTCACATTCAGAGCACTGAAACGGTCTGTCTTCAAAGTGTATCGTTTGATGTGTAACAAGCTCATAGTCCTTGCCACACTTTGAACGAACAGTGGAATGGTCTTTGTCCAGCATGTTTGCACATTTGATACTCAAGGGTAGACTTTCTAAAGAATGTTGTGTCACACAGAGTGCAGGAATACGTCTTTCTCCAGTGTGAAGAAACGTATGCTCCTTCAGATGGGTTACGGAACTGAAAACCTTCCTGCAGTCTTGGGACTGATGAGGTTTGAATTCAGTGTGGGCTCGCTTGTGGTTTTTCAAGCCAAATCTCTTGGTGAAGCCCTTTGATACGGTTTCTCTCCAGTGTGGCTTCGGCCATGATACAACAAGACACTTTTCATTGTGAAGTTATTTTCACACTGTAACAAGGGGAACAGCTTCTCACCAGTATGGAGTCGCATATTAAGCACAAGACCATCCATATAAGGATAACTCTTACCACATGTGGTACAATGAGGCATTTTGAGGCTCACTCTCGCTTCCAAAGCTTCTCCCACGCAGAGCACAAGTTTGACCCGAGAGGAACTGCATCAGGAGGCCGTGGTGGAACGACATGCAAGTTTCTGACTTGATGTGTCTTATTTGGTTTAGTGTCTGGATACAGAGGACCTTTGGTGACTTAGAGATTCTCAGTAGTCTGGACGTGCTGGTTGCACCTTCATAACTCGCTGTATGGGGGTGGTTGAGGTTTTGGTAACATGGGAGTTGGAACACTTACAGATCTTTGTATCATTAATGGACTTGGCATCAACTTCTTCCCCTTGTTCCATCTTAATCAGACTAGAAAATAATAAAAGAGATGGCATAGATAGGACCAGTAATATACTCAAAATAGAAAACAATGTAAGGAGGAGAAAGAAAGACAATACTATACCTTTTATTTGTTCACAGCTCATTCTGCTGAATTAAAAATGACAAGTAAATATCCGCATAACATATGTGATGTGTGTGAAAACAGAGGATTAACATGAAGTAATGTGTTAACAAAAGAATGTATGCACAACCAAACACTTTGAGGATTATCATGTGTTATTTGATAGAGGGCCTGTCTGGAGCTTACCTTCATGGGTGATATGGCCTCATCTGTGTCCTCACATCAGCCATGTTAGAGGAAGCTAATATCTCTTCAACTGGCTCAGCTTTCACCTTTACCATCGGACAACTCTGGAATCCTTTTTCTTCCTTTCGACAGTCGATTAGGATGGTTGTTTTCTTCGTTCTTTATAACCGGTGTCCTCAAACTTTCAGCCATGTTGCTGGTAAAGCTTCGGAGGTTTGTTTCATTTACAAAACAAGATGTTTCTATCGAAGAAACTGGACATTGGAAGGAGTATGAGCTTCTCCAGTGATGCAGAAGCTGTGGCTAGACCTCAAGTTTCACCACCAATTCTATTTGAGGCTTCATTTATTATCACTAACCTAATATTTGAGTGCCTTTCAGTTGATTTTCAGCTTTCAGCTCCTTTGACACACACCAGAGAACCATTTAATGAGAACCTATCAACACACCTGATGCTCAGGGCCACAATTTCTTGTTAGGTGATGTCATTTCCTCTTGATAATATCAAGATTTAAATACTTCTTTGGAGTTTTATGGCAGTTGGCAATCCAACTGTTATGTTGCAAGCAATAAATCATTTTCATAGTAAAAAATGTGTCTATGGATTTTCACACAAAAATTCCATCTAAAGTTCTCTGAATCTTAGTGTGAGTTTTGGTCATTAGTGGACTTTTATCACTCATTACCATGTACACAAATGAAGAGTGGATGATTATATTATTTGTTTAATGTAGAAAAATCACAGTGAAATTCCATAGAATATAATTCCCAGCACCATCTACTCTTCTCACTCCAGAATGTCACTAAAGAGCTTCGGCTTCTTTGATTCGCCTGTCTGTACTTCCTGCCACTGGGCCCGCCTCTTCACAAAGTGGGTCAGGGCAAATTTGGGCCAAACGTGACGAGCAAACTGGTCTGATCTCAGTTGTGTCTCACAAGGCACTGAGAGGGAAAGAGAGATAAATAAGAGTCCCAGTCATAATACCCATGAGACCTGGCGGTCAAACAGGGAAAGGGTTCCAATCGTTTTTCCACCATTCATTTTTCCAATAGGGGATTTTAGAAACACTTAAAATAAGGGCTGTGGTTCGTGTAGGCTTACCCTGGCGTGACGTTTTGATAACCATGTAAATCTCTCTCGGACAAGGTGACTTATTATTCATTATTACCCCCCAAAATGAAATGCTAATTAGCTGCTAATGTGGCTATTATAAAGAACTACATTTTACATTTTAGACATTTAGCAGACGCTCTTATCCAGTGCATACATTTTTTTATTTTTTTTTATTTTTTACAACTACAAATGCCATGATGATCTGGACGAGACTGCAGAAGAGGTAAAGGTAAGAATCTCTGGATTAAATATCTAATGTTAGCTAAATGTAGTAATTAATAAATTGGCTACATTTCTTTAAATTGATAATTCTGTGAACAGTCTTGTATAATTTTTAAGTTGACACAATACCTGTTAGCAAAGGTGTCAGTTAGGGATGACGTGCAGGAGCTTGCAGGGATTTGTAGTTTTGCATGGTCTACTTTGACGCTAATTAGCATTTTCGAATTTGAGAGTAAATAGAGACTAATATATTGATTAGTCACCTTGTCCGAGAGAGATTTACATGGTTATCCAAACGTCACGCCAGGGTAAGCCTACACGAAACACAGCCCTTATTTTAAATGTTTCTAAAATCCCCTATGGGAAATAAGTTTGGGAAACCCTGGTCTAAAACAGCGTTTCCAAAACTCTGTACTGGGGGCCCCCAATGGGTGCACATTTTGTTTTTTGCCCTAGCACTACACAGCTGATTCAAATAATCAACTCCTCAAGCTTTGATAATTTTTATCAGCTGTTTAGTGCTAAGGACTGACACAGAATATGATTACGCTTGCAACAACACCCCACACAATGAAATCAACATTTACATTTTAGTCATTTAGCAGATGCTCTTATCCAGAGCGACTTACAGGAGCAATTAGGGTTAAGTGCCTTGCTCAAGGGCACATCGACAGATTTTTCACCTAGTCTGCTCGGGGATTAGAACCAGCGACCTTTCGGTTACTGGCACAACGCTCTTAACCACTAAGCTACCTGCCGCCCTCAACTCTAACCAGTAAAGGAGTACAGTGGTGCTGTTCCAGACTGCCTCCAACACACGGCTGCCATACCTGGAACAGGCCATCTGGACATACTGGCCCTAGGAGCCAAGTCAGGACATGGCAGGGAGAGGGAGAGGACACAGGGGATTAGGGTTATGGGGACTGCTGTGAGAATATGATCAATGAAACAGCCAGCTTTGGATCATGACCATGACTAGCAGTGAGAGGACGTACTCTGTTCAGGTTATCATCTTTAACAGTGAGAGGAAATACTCTGTTCAGGTTATCATCTTTAACAGTGAGATGAAGTACTCTGTTCAGGTTATCATCTTTAACAGTGAGAGGAAATACTCTGTTCAGGTTATCATCTTTAACAGTGAGAGGAAATACTCTGTTCAGGTTATCATCTTTAACAGTGAGAGGAAATACTCTGTTCAGGTTATCATCTTTAACAGTGAGATGAAGTACTCTGTTCAGGTTATCATCTTTAACAGTGAGATGAAGTACTCTGTTCAGGTTATCATCTTTAACAGTGAGATGAAGTACTCTGTTCAGGTTATCTTTAACAATGAGAGGAAGTACTCTGTTCAGGTTATCATCTCTCGCACAGGTCCTACCTCCAGTCTCCTCAGGATCTTGCCCCTCCCCTTATCGCTGTATGATGTCACCAGGAGCTGGAGAACGTGGCTGCCTGATTGGTCGGTTCCCAGGGTCAGGTGGTCAGCGGGGGTCAGAGAGCGGAGGCTGTTCAGGAGCAGGGAGCGGTCTTTAAACTTGGCCAGCGATTGGACCAGACGGGAGCCAAGGTAACAGATAGAGGATAGGGGGCACTAAAGAGGGAGATACAAAGGACAGTGGTGTTGGTCTCTACATTGGTAGACACGTAGTATGCTTTCATAAATAACAAAAGACTGTGAGCTTTGGTGTCAGGTACAAAAGTACTCACATTTTTGTAGGGTTTGCATTCAGAATATCAAGTTAATACAGTAACTTCGAGACCAATACCTCTGTTTCGCCCTCTGCTGTGCCCTCTGCTGTCTCTGAGCTGTAGTACACCTCGTGTGTGAGCAGCGACAGGAAGAGAGGCAGGCAGGCGGTGTGTCGGGAGGCAGGTTCAGCACAGTGAAAAGCACTGAGGAGGCGTTGCATCATCTCTCGCCGTTTCTCCTCCCGCTCTGCACAGCTGTCTGTCAGCTGGACGATCACACCCATGTGACCTGCCGCCAAGATGGCCTCCAGACCCTCGGCTAGCTCATCGAACACCTTCAGAAACTGTGGAAAGGGGAGCGGGAGGAAGGGAGAGGAGAGAAAGAAGTAGAAGGTATAGAGTTCCTACTGTCACTGTAAACCTGTGTTCTGTATGAACTCTGATGAATACCAACAAAACAGATTATATTCAGCAGTATCTACCATCTTATGGATTTGGGGACTAATAGTATGGTATTTGTGTGAACAATGCTACTAAGTAACAATGATGTATACACAGAAATAACTATAGGGGGTATACATATTGGCATACAACTTTGTAATTGGTGGAAGCTGCTGTCAGTCTCTGTATTGGGAAGTTAGCGATTGGATGGATGGCCAGGGTGGCCAGCTGACCCTGGAGGTGGTTCTTATAGAGGTGCCGGAGCAAGGCCTTGTGGGACAGCTGGATGACTGTCTCAATGAGCCAACTAGAAGCCTGGTCTTTCAGAAACACAAAGAGAGGACTGAGAGAAAGAGAGAGACATACGACACATTGGATTCAAAACCACAAGGACATAGAAACATTGACTTAGGTCTGTGAGACTTCCTCTAATCACCTAACTCCAGGAGCAGAGGTGAGTGATGTCAGGTACTTCACGATGCCTTTGGTGAGAAGTTTGCAGAGTTTGGGCCGGTTTCTGTGACACACCGTCAACATGGTCTGGAACACAATACTAGCCACAGCATCGGTCATACACACTGATGGAGAGACGGAAGAGGAGAGATAGGTCATGTAATGTCACTGTGACAAAATGTCTCCAATAGTATGTACTACAGTGAGGGAAAAAAGTATTTGATCCCCTGCTGATTTTGTATGTTTGCCCACTGACAAAGAAATGATCAGTCTATAATTTTAATGGTAGGTTTATTTGAACAGTGAGAGACAGAATAACAACAAACAAATCCAGAAAAACGCATGTCAAAAATGTTATAAATTGATTTGCATTTTAATGAGGGAAATAAGTATTTGACCCCCTCTCAATCAGAAAGATTTCTGGCTCCCAGGTGTCTTATATACAGGTAACGAGCTGAGATTAGGAGCACACTCTTAAAGGGAGTGCTCCTAATCTCAGCTTGTTACCTGTATAAAAGACACCTGTCCACAGAAGCAATTATAGTATCTAAAGATTATGCCTTTGTTAAATGTTTTTCATGAAGAAATGGAATGTTGGTTATGTTAGTATCAGAAGGCAATGTTTAGTATAATGACATATGACAGACAGGAAGTGGGTTGTAAGATACGGGGATTGGACAGTAGAGGGAGCTATTCAACTCTTGGAAGGCTATATAAAGGGGAGACTGGTGATTGGCCAGAGGAGGGAGTTTCATTGTTTATAAATAAGGGGGTTAGGCGAGGAACGTCAGAACGGCCATAGCAATCTGGGGAGCCGTTCTCCGGACATCGCGAGTCTGTACCTATGCTGTAAACTCGTGATTTTAATAAAAGCCTCTCACACGATGCAGCATAACGGACTCTGTGTTGACAGCAATAATTGCCACCACTCATCATATACGACACAATCAATCAATCAGATTCCAAACTCCACCATGGCCAAGACCAAAGAGCTCTCCAAGGATGTCAGGGACAAGATTGTAGACCTACACAAGGCTGGAATGGGCTACAAGACCATCGCCAAACAGCTTGGTGAGAAGGTGATAACAGTTGGTGCGATTATTCGCAAATGGAAGAAACACAAAAGAACTGTCAATCTCCCTCGGCCTGGGGCACCATACAAGATCTCACCTCGTGGAGTTGCAATGATCATGAGAACGGTGAGGAATCAGCCCAGAACTACACGGGAGGATCTTGTCAATGATTTCAAGGCAGCTGGGACCATAGTCACCAAGAAAACAATTGGTAACACACTACGCCTTGAAGGACTGAAATCCTGCAGTGCCCGCAAGGTCCCCCTGCTCAAGAAAGCACAGATACAGGCCCGTCTGAAGTTTGCCAATGAACATCTGAATGATTCAGAGGAGAACTGGGTGAAAGTGTTGTGGTCAGATGAGACCAAAATCGAGCTCTTTGGCATCAACTCAACTCGCCATATTTGGAGGAGGAGGAATGCTGCCTATGACCCCAAGAACACCATCCCCACGTCAAACATGGAGGTGGAAACATTATGCTTTGGGGGTGTTTTTCTGCTAAGGGGACAGGACAACTTCACCGCATCAAAGGGACGATGGATGGGGCCATGTACCGTCAAATCTTGGGTGAGAACCTCCTTCCCTCAGCTAGGGCATTGAAAATGGGTCGTGGCTGGGTATTCCAGCATGACAATGACCCAAACCACACGGCCAAGGCAACAAAGGAGTGGCTCAAGAAGAAGCACATTAAGGTCCTGGAGTGGCCTAGCCAGTCTCCAGACTTTAATCCCATAGAAAATCTGTGGAGGGAGCTGAAGGTTCGAGTTCCCAAACGTCAGCCTCGAAACCGTAATGACTTGGAGAAGATCTGCAAAGAGGAGTGGGACAAAATCCATCCTGAGATGTGTGCAAACCTGGTGGCCAACTACAAGAAACATCTGACCTCTGTTATTGCCAACAAGGGTTTTGCCACCAAGTACTAAGTCATGGTTTGCAGAGGGGTCAAATACTTATTTCCCTCATTAAAATGCAAATCAATTTATAACATTTTTGACATGCGTTTTTCTGGATTTGTTTGTTGTTATTCTGTCTCTCACTGTTCAAATAAACCTACCATTAATCATGTCTTTGTCAGTGGGCAAACGTACAAAATCAGCAGGGGATCAAATACTTTTTTCTCTCACTGTATGAACATCTACTATGAAGATGTGCAATGTGCAATGTGGGGCTTAGTTTTATATATACTGTAGCTTGATGACAGAAGCCTTGCGATTGAACTTGTCCATCAAGGAGGTAGACAGGGTTTTCAATTCCCACCAAAATGACGTGGCCATCTCAAAGTATGTCAGCTGAGTGGTGACATTCCTGTCCTTTACACCTGAAACAAAATACACAGATAAGATAAGTTAGTGTGTATGAGTGTATGTTTGGATAATCGTTTGTGTGTGTGTACCTGAGCGTGCTGTATTGGTGCGGGCTGGACAAGGCAGCCTGCCAGTACATTTATGAGCGTGCGAGCTACGTGGGAGCCATGTGTGTGTCTGATGAACTCTACACAGTGCTCCCTCACTACGCAACACAGGGACAGAACCTGGGCCTCCAGTATCCCATAATCCTCCCCTTTTGTCTCTGCATCTCCTTCTGTGGTGGCTGACATAAACAAGTAAGATTCATTATATGTGTCATTCTATTAGACCTTAATGAAGTTACCTAAAACAAGACATTTCAGGGCCTAGGTGTTTTTTTCAGATTGGTCACCATCAGATTCACCTCTCCATCTGGGCATCTGTCTGAGGGCGCTCTCCACGACGTGACCCCCACATTTGTCACATGACACTGTCTTGAACTCCAACCCGGATTCTCCGCCAAGCTTGGCCAGCACGTCCCCCACCTGGCCGGGGCTAGCCAATGGGAGCAGCTGCTGGAGGGTGACACTTCTGGTCACATCCATGGCAACCAGGGCGGCCTACCCTTTGATCTCCGTTAGCACGTTCTACACAAAGAGAACTACAAGGGAGGGAGGAAGAAATAAAGATATGTTGTAAAGGCCACAGAAATGTACATTTACACACACACAATTTCTCCCCCAATCCCCTCCCCCTGTGCAAGGTCATTCATCTCACCTCTCTCCTCATCCTCTGTGAAGCCTTCGCTGAGTCTCTCTCCCACTCTGCGGAAGTAGCCCACACTCAAGGCATCCAGATGCTTCCTGGCACCTCCTTCTTCACCTCCTCCTCTTCCACCCCTACCTCCTATTCCACCCACTCCTCTTCTCTTTCTCTCTCCATCTTCTCCTCGTTCACCCGCTTCTCCTCTTCTTCCACTCCCATCTCCTCCTCTTCCTCCTCCTCCACTCGCTCCTCCTCCTCTCCTCCTCCTCTTCCACCTCCTAATTCTCTCTCCATCTCTAAAATGTTTCCTCTTCAGTCCTCCCTCTCGCCACTGGTTATTTTCTTCAATTTTAGCCAACATTTTAAAATACACAAATGTAAATTGATCACTGGTGTACTGGGGTCTTCATCCTGATAAAGAATGTGCATGCTGTTGAGTATGATGAAAAACCAATTTTTACCCCTGGTCTCTCTAGGAAGCTACGAGTTAACTGACAAGCCAAGATAATTTTTTTGTCAATAAAAAAATACAATTTTGACCACTTTCGTTGAAGGAGTGTTCAACAAATTAAGAATATGTCTGATCTGAATCTGCTTTTGGTGAAGCTACCTAACGTTAGCTAATAAGAACCATGGTCATGGAAGCCGGCTACAACCCCTTTCAGCCTATTCAAATCGCCTACATTGTTCATCTTTATTAATATCTTATAACTTTACCATAGGAGTCAACTCAGTAGCAAGATATATTACAATATAAATGTTACCAAATGCAGCCAGCACGCTAGCTAATAGTACAACTCACATGTGAAGTGATGGCAAAAATATTTTTAACTAACCCAAGATAGTTCATCTTTGTCGTTTACAGTGGGAGCAAATGAAGCATAGTGGGCAGAACAAGCAAGGAGTTGGGCAAAGCCAAGCACGAGCAAGTCGAGATCCTATTGGCGCGTTGTAGCGTGTATTTGCATATTTCCATTAGGGAACGCCTCCTCTGTGAAGTGCGCGTGTGCACAAATTTAATTCAACCTTGCACTGCTTCTAAACAACGCAATTAAAAAAATACTTTGGCAAAGTGTCAAGTCTATAAAACTTTGTGAACTTTGGCAAAGTGTCAAGTCTATACAACTTAGTGAACTGTGTTCTTAACATATTCTAGTTTTAGGAACAGAAAGATGTATTGAGATCATATGTTTCATCGATAAGAAAATTTGCAGAATGTCGCCCCAGTTTTACCTAGTTCCATCCTCTCCAACTACCCTTGACTGGACTACCTCTCACAACCATATTTATGGAACACAAAGCCTTCACTATTTCATCCTGGAATATCCAAGGCCTGAGGTCATCTGCCTTTGGCCTAAAGAGCAGGAATCTGGACTTCACCAAAGAAATCGGAAATACAGACATTGTCATCCTACAAGAAACATGGTATAGAGGAGACGGACCCACTGGTTGCCCTCTAGGTTACAGAGAGCTGGTAGTCCCATCCACCAAACTACCAGGTGTGAAACAGGGAAGGGACTCAGGGGGTATGCTAATTTGGTATAGAGCAGACCTAACATTTCTCAACTGAGAAAAATGTCCTCCTGTGTGCTACCTATATCCCCCCACTAGAATCCCCATACTTTAATGAAGACAGTTTCTCCATCCTGGAGGGGGAAATCAATCATTTCCAGACCCAGGGACATGTACTAGTCTGTGGCGACCTAAATGCCAGAACTGGACAAGAACCTGACACCCTCAGCACACAGGGGGACAAACACCTACCTGGAGGTGACAGCATTCCCTCCCCCATATGCCCCCCTAGGCACAACTACGACAACATAACCAACAAAAACGGGTCACGACTCCTGCAGCTCTGTCGCACACTGGGTATGTACATAGTCAATGGTAGGCTTCGAGGGGACTCCTATGGTAGGTACACCTATAGCTCATCTCTTGGCAGTAGTACTGTAGACTACTTTATCACTGACCTCAACCCAGAGTCTCTCAGAGCGTTCACAGTCAGCCCACTGACACCCCTATCAGACCACAGCAAAATCACAGTATACTTGAACAGAGCAATACTCAATCATGAGGCATCAAAGCCAAAGGAACTGAATAATATTAAGAAATGCTATAGATGGAAGGAAAGTAGTGTTGAAACCTACCAAAAAACAATTAGGAAACAACAAATTCAATCCATTCTAGACAACTTCCTGGACAAAACGTTCCACTGTAATAGTGAAGGTGTAAACTTGGCAGAAGAAAACCTAAACAGTATATTTGACCTCTCAGCTTCCCTATCAAATCTAAAAATCTCTAACAGAAAACCAAAGAAAAGCAATAACAGTGATAAATGGTTTGATGAAGAATGCAAAAACCTAAGAAAGAAATTGAGAAACCTATCCAACCAAAAACATAGAGACCCAGAAAACCTGAGCCTACGCCTTCACTATGGTGAATCACTAAAACAATACAGAAATACACTACGGAAAAAGAAGGAACAGCATGTCAGAAATCAGCTCAATGTAATTGAAGAATCCATAGACTCTAACCACTTCTGGGAAAATTGGAAAACACTAAACAAACAACAACACGAAGAGCTATCTATCCAAAATGGAGATGTATGGGTAAACCACTTCTCCAATCTTTTTGGCCCTATAACAGAGAACAAGCAGCAAAAAAATATACATGATCAAATGCAAATCTTAGAATCAACTATTAAAGACTACCAGAACCCACTGGATTCTCCAATTACATTGAATGAACTACAGAACAAAATGCAAACCCTCCAACCCAAAAAGTCCTGTGGTGTTGATGGTATCCTCAATGAAATGATAAAATATACAGACCACAAATTTCAATTAGCTATACTTAAACTCTTTAACATCATCCTTAGCTCTGGCATCTTCCCCAATATTTGGAACCAAGGACTGATCACCCCAATCCACAAAAGTGGAGACAAATTTGACCCCAATAACTACCGTGGGATATGCGTCAACAGCAACCTTGGGAAAATCCTCTGCATTATCATTAACAGCAGACTAGTTCATTTCCTCAGTGAAAACAATGTACTGAGCAAATGTCAAATTGGCTTTTTACCAAATTACTGTACGACAGACCACGTATTCACCCTGCACACCCTAATTGACAAACTAACAAACCAAAACAAAGGCAAAGTCTTCTCATGCTTTGTTGATTTCAAAAAAGCTTTTGACTCAATTTGGCATGAGGGTCTGCTATACAAATTGATGGAAAGTGGGGTTGGGGGAAAAACATACGACATTATAAAATCCATGTACACAAACAACAAGTGTGCGGTTAAAATTGGCAAAAAACACACACATTTCTTTCCACGGGGCCGTGGGGTGAGACAGGGATGCAGTTTAAGCCCCACCCTCTTCAACATATATATCAACGAATTGGCGAGGGCACTAGAACAGTCTGCAGCACCCGGCCTCACCCTACTAGAATCTGAAGTCAAATGTCTTCTGTTTGCTGATGATCTGGTGCTTCTGTCACCAACCAAGGAGGGCCTACAGCAGCACCTAGATCTTCTGCACAGATTCTGTCAGACCTGGGCCCTGACAGTAAATATCAGTAAGACAAAAATAATGGTGTTCCAAAAAAGGTCCAGTTGCCAGGACCACAAATACAAATTCCATCTAGACACCGTTGCCCTAGAGCACACAAAAAACTATACATACCTCGGCCTAAACATCAGCGCCACAGGTAACTTCCACAAAGCTGTGAACGATCTGAGAGACAAGGCAAGAAGGGCCTTCTATGCCATCAAAAGGAACATAAAATTTGACATACCAATTAGGATCTGGCTAAAAATACTTGAATCAGTTATAGAACCCATTGCCCTTTATGATTCTGAGGTCTGGGGTCCGCTCACCAACCAAGAATTCACAAAATGGGACAAACACCAAATTGAGACTCTGCATGCAGAATTCTGCAAAAACATCCTCTGTGTACAACGTAAAACACCAAATAATGCATGCAGAGCAGAATTAGGCCAATACCCGCTAATTATCAAAATCCAGAAAAGAGCCGTTAAATTCTATAACCACTTAAAAGGAAGCGATTCCCAAACCTTCCATAACAAAGCCATCACCTACAGAGAGATGAACTTGGAGAAGAGTCCCCTAAGTAAGCTTGTCCTGGGGCTCTGTTCACAAACACAAACAGACCCCACACAGCCCCAGGACAACAACAACAACAACACAACTAGACCCAACCAAATCATGAGAAAACAAAAAGAGAATTACTTGACACATTGGAAAGAACAAAAAAAAAAACAGAGTAAACTAGAATGCTATTTGGCCCTAAACAGAGAGTACACAGTGGCAGAATACCTGACCACTGTGACTGACCCAAACTTAAGGAAAGCTTTGACTATGTACAGACTCAGTGAGCATAGCCTTGCTATTGAGAAAGGCCGCCATAGGCAGACCTGGCTCTCAAGAGAAGACAGGCTATGTGCACAATGCCCACAAAATGAGGTGGAAACTGAGCTGCACTTCCTAACCTCCTGCCAAATGTATGACCATATTAGAGACACGTATTTCCCTCAGATTACAGCGATCCACAAAGAATTCGAAAACAAACCCAATTTTGATAAACTCCCTTATCTACTGGGTGAAAAACCACAGTGTGCCATCACAGCTGCAAGATTTGTGACCTGTTGCCACAAGAAAAGGGCAACCAGTGAAGAACAAACACCATTGTAAATACAACCCATATTTATGTTTATTTATTTTCCCATTTGTACTTTAACTATTTGCACATTGTTACAACACTGTATATATACACAATATGACATTTGAAATGTCTTTATTCTTTTGAAACTTCTGAGTGTCATGTTTACTGTTAATATTTATTGTTTATTTCACTTTTGTTTACTATCTACTTCACTTGCTTTGGCAATGTTAACACACGTTTCCCATGCCAATAAAGCCCTTAAATTGAATTGAATTTAACTTTATAAACGGATGCTTCAGCTTTAAAGCCCCTGTGACGTGTCTGGTTACTCTTTCAGTGGAGATTGTGTGTTGGCACATGATGATGACGTCAATGTGCAAAAGTCGTTTTCTTTTTTATTAACTGGCAGGGGGCTCTTGGCTTTGCGTCATTGTTTTATACCCAGGGCCACTTAGTGAATCATCAATAGTGGTTGGTGGTTAGCAAATACAGTATGTGGGTTTTATGAATGGTTGATTAAAAAAAAAAAGAATCACCATCATCACATTGTCTAACATCCCTTGACTCACACACAGTGAGGCAATCACCCTCATGATGTCACCAGGTCGTTAGCTCGAACTCTTGATTGCAAAAAAATCCCTCCACTCCCCTGACGTAAACCCTCAGACACAGTAA